TTTTTGTGAAACACAATGTGTATTAATTTTGTATGCAAACCAATATAAATAAAAATTTTTCAAAGTTATTTTTTTTGTTCTTTTTCTTTCCCCTCCCCCTTTATGGAGACTAGGAACTGAATTTAAGAGATAATCCTTGGATATGTATCATTTTGAAGATTCCAGAGAGCTAATTTAATTCCATTTGGAACTTGAGCTTACTCTGGTAGCTTCATGGTAAGGAGTTACGCTGCCAATCCAAAGGCATGTTTTTCATGCACACTGGTTGCTCCACAGGAAAAAATGGACTATCTCCTCTGGACTATCTCCTCCTGTGTGACTTATAGCCTCTGCAAACACTGTGAAGAGTCAGCTATGAGTCGGTTCAAACTCAACAGTACATAATGGTAATAATAACATCTCTGTTGTTGTTGTTGTTGATTTTAGGTACAGTTGAGCCAAGTACAACTCATGGTGATTATGGACAACAGATCTGAACTCTGTCCCATCCTGTCCCATCCTCATCATCTGTGACATACTTGAGCCTATTATTGCAGTCGCTGTGTTCATCATTCTCTTTGAAGATCTTCTTTTTTGCTGACTTTCTCTTTTACTGACCCCCACCTTACCAAGCATGATGTCCTGTGTCTTCAAGATATTTAAAGAAGATTTTAAAGAATGTTTACTGTGGACATTTCAATGCATTTCTGTATTCCTATGCAGCTGTCAAGGAAGCGCTTGCTCTTTATATATTTACTATTGTGTAGGGTGTCTTCTCTGCTTTTAGACAGCAAGGAGCAGAGACTAGGTTGCCCTGGCTTGGAGACGGGTCAGTAACAGGATTTCAAACTCTTGCAGAAAGGGAAACCTTGAGTGATGGAGAAACCAAACCAAACCCCCAAATTAAACGCCTCATGTCAGTTCTGACTCACGATGACCTTGTGTGTGCAGAGTTCAGCTCTACTGCATAAGGTTTTGAAGTCAGAATGCTTTGGAAGCAGATTGTCAGGATTTTCTTCGGCGGTATCTCTGGGTAGGTTTGAACCGGTAACTTTATTTTGTTTGTAAATGTTTTAAATTGTGATTTTTTTTCAGAGAGACTATAAACCATGCAACCAAGTCTTTTATTACACAACTGTTTTTCAAATTATTTCCTTAATCTCTGTACACAGGCAATAGTAAGTGTACTGCTTAACATATTCGACCTTTCAAATCTGACAGTTGTTTGAAGGGAAAATAATCCTAAAGCAAAATTAACCAGGAGGCCAATGCATCTGCCGGCCTCCAAGAACATGGAGATGAACATGATAAACAGACTGCCCCCCATCTGAACCTTCATTCACCACCATTCGATAACCCTTTTGCAGGCCCAGATCAGCAGCACATTTCTTGCCAACAATCATGAAATGTCCAAGGAGGCTTTCATCATCATCTTCTGCTACAGAAACCTGGGTAATAGGTTTCTCAGGTATCACCCGAAAATGTATTGGCGCTTGAGGTGAAATGTCATGAAAAGCGAGGCACCGCTCATCCTCAAAAATTATTTTGGCTGGGATTTCTTTCCGGATTATCTTCCCGAAGATTGTATCGCCACCAGGCCGGGCGGTCTGAGCCTTGGCGATCTCATCTGCCATCTCGGTCTCCCTCCTGCTCCATGGCTCCCAGCTCCCGAGGAGGAAGGAGCGGGAGAGCCCGAGGGAGGCGGGAGCGCACGGCCAAGGACCGTAAAGACTGCGTGGGGACCGCTGTCTGCGCGCCCCTAAATTGGGATTTTAAGGAAGGTTAACAGTAAGGTTGGGTTTCCATTCACTTCTTGTTGCATATTTTCCTCCCTTCCCCTCTCTTTCCCTTCTCCTAGTCTACTCTGCAATGCACTTCTTATTCCAGACTGTTGTTACATATAAAAACTTTAATTTAGAATTTTTTAATTGCGATTTTAATGAAAGTTTATAGAGAACTTGGATTTCCATTCATTCATTGCTGCACATTTTCTCCCTGCCAGCCGCCTCCCTTCTCCCCAGTTCACTGTTTGTTATCTTTGGGGGGAAAAAATTCTTTCATTGTTATACAATGTGTCCCTCCACCCCCGCAAGTCCACTTTACTATGCAGCTCTTATTCTAGACTCATGTCATGCCAATAATACCTAATCATGTATTCCTTTTATAGAGTTCTCTTCCTCATATGTTTCAATGTCATGTACATTATTTATCCCCTCTTTTCTTAGTTTCCTCCCAACTCCCATGTCAGTCCTGTTTTATAACAGTGGCACTATGCAGTATTTGTCTTTTTGTGACTGAGATATTTCACTCAGCATTATGTCCTCCATGGTCACCCATTTTGTATAATATTTCATTAGTTCTTTGTTTTTCAGTGCTGCCTAATATTCCATTATGGAAATACATCACAGCTTCTCTATCCATTTGTTTGTTGATGGGCACTTGGGTTGTTTCCAACTCTTTGCTATTGTGAACAAAGCTGTGATAAACATGGGTTTTTTTTTAATATATTTATATATCTGCTTGGGTGGCAGTTATAATTTCTTTAGGGTATATTCCCAGTAGTTGAATTGCTCAGTCAAATGGTATTTCAATTTGCAACTTTTTGAGAGAGCGCCGTACTACCTTCCATAGTGGTTGCACTATTTTTACACTCCCACCAACAGTGAATAAGTGTTCCCGTTTTTCTACAACCTCGCCAGAATTTGCAGTTTGCTGCTCTGTTAAATTTTGCTGTTCTTACTGGGCTGAGATGATATCTCATGGTTGTTTTGATTTGCATCTCTCTTAGAGCTAGAGATTTTGAACATTTCTTCATGTGCTTGTTTGTCATCTGAATGTCTCCTTTGGTGAAGTGTCTGTTCATATCCTGTGCCTATTTTCCAATTGGGTTGTTTACCTTTATCTTGTTGTTGAGATTATATATATATATATATATATATAATAAAAATAGTTATTTAAATGCTTAATTGTTTACACCATGGCCTTAATTCCGCTGAATGGGATGAGGAGAAATGATAATATTTTACATATCTGACAGTGGTCAGGAGGTTTAAGTAGTCATTTATAAGTAATTGAATTCTATCCTTGCATACATGAAAATGTTCATTGTGCCAAAGGTGCAAATTACCATGCAACAAAGAGAAAAATACTACAAGGAAGAGACCCAATGTTTTGGCATGTGCTACCCTGTTGACACTGTAAGTTATGATTATTATAGACTTACTTCTTTGACTAATGCTTAGGTAAGGATTGTACTCTATTGTCTCTTAAACCTGATTTTGTTAAGATGGCTTGGAAAGTTACTGTTTTATCAAATTTAATATTATGAAGCATTTTGTTATAACAACAATCATATATAGCTGTGTTGAAGAATTGCTTATTTCATTGGATAAAGCAATTTGGGTAATTATGTTTTCTTATTTCATTAGTCATCAGTCAGTATTTTGAATTATGTAGCTTATATTCATTGAGAATCACAGATTTTTTTTTAGAATGATAGATTATTTTGATGCAATTTACATTTCAGGGAAGATAAGGAGAAAAGCACGCCATCAAAATTTTGTGAGTTGGAGTTGCAACTTCTTTAAAATGTGTCATAAAACTTGTAGAAAGTGAGAAATTTAATTTTAAATGCTTTTGCTCTGTTTCAAGTTGCAGGACTTGTGCCTTTGTGGCATCTTTTGAGTCAGAGGCTGGAGTTCTACACATTACCAGAAGGAGTCAGCATTTCTCCATACATGTTGTTGTTCTTATGTACCGTCAAGGAGCCGGCAACTCATAGTGGCCCTGTGTACAACAGCTCTTGGCTCTGAAGCCTGCCCTGTCCTGAGTCAGTCCACTGACTCTGATACACCTACCGTCCTTTCACCAGTTACTGTATCAATGCTTCTCATCTAGGGTCTTCCTTTCCTTTCCTTCACTCTTCCAAGCATAATGTCCTCCAAGGACTTGCCACTTGCTCTAAGTAGGTGAGATGAAGCTTCAAAATCCTAGCCTCCCAGGAGAAACTTGGTTTTACCCTCTCCAAGACAGACCTATTTGTTTTCTTGGTGGCCCATGGTATGTTCAAGATTCTTCTCCAGCACCACAACCCAAAGGTATTAATTGTTCTTCTATCGTCCTTAGTCATTATCCAGCTATCTGATGCATAGCAAGTAATTGCAAAGATCATGGACTGGATCAGGTGGCACCTTAGTCTCTAGACTGACATCATTGCTTCTCAGTACTCTGGAAAAGTCCCTGGTAATAGGTTGCAGTTCACCTTTTGATTTCTTGACTGCTGATGCAAAAATGTTGATTGGGAACTGATCAAGCTATAATTGTTAACAATCTCAATCTTTTCTCCATATCCATACATATATATGTCTTTTTGTAAACTCAAGACCGGGTTGGGAGTAATTTTTGTAGAAATACTTGGTCATGTTGGTGTTTTATCAAGGAAGTTGTTGTTGTGTAATACTGAATTGGAATTGACCCATAGCTTACTCTACGGTTTTCAAAGGCAAATAATTGAACAGGCAGAGATTGCCCATCTTTTTCTCGTAGAACGGCTTGCAGATTTGAACCACATACCTTTGGGTTGGCAGTGCAATTCCATGCCCCTAGGCCGCTAGAGCTCTATGTTGTCCAGCTCAAAGAATTTGTGAACCGATAAAGACTTGAAAGGTAAGTTTCCCAAAGGTCTAGTATTCAACACCTAAAAAAAAGCTTCTAGGATTCTTTCCTGAGTCACTGTTCTTGTTTTGTTTTTTACACTGAGCCTCTGCTTTGAGAGTCAGTGTTCTTCGTAATTTTCCTGGTGTATTAATGAGTTATATGAAAGTGAATTTCGATTTTCAAGAAGCATTCAATAAGCATCTACAATCTTTTGTGGCCTAGGTGTTAAGAAGCTGCACTACAATCTCAAAGGCACACAGTTCTAATCCACCAGTTCCACGAGAGAAGTATGGGCAATCTCCTCCTATACTGTTTGCTGGAACTTCAGCTATGGATTGGTTCCAATCTGATGGCATACAACAAAAAAGTTATGTTAAGGAAAGAGGACAGATATCTATGAAGCAGAAGTCATAAGTGACCAATACCAGCAGAGGGTGCAAACGGCCAAGAAGTCAGATGGACACAACCCAGGTCTCACTGGGTGAGAATTTCTCATTCCCAGGTGTTTTAAACTTATGCCCCACAATTGCACATTTTCAGTATGTCCCAATATGTATCTCTATCATTCTGCTACCAATATTAGATTAATATATAGGTTTTTATGAATGGCCAACAAAGATTTTGGATTAATAAGGCATCAACTTTGACCAACAAATTCAACATAGTGTGTGGATGAGTATAGCTGACCCTCCAATAGGTCTTTGGAGACGATAAAATTTCACAGGAAAAGATTACTCATATCTCTCTCAGAGCAACTGTTGGGTTGGAACTACCTGTCTTTGGATTGGCAGCATGACTCCTTATCCACTAGGCTACCAGAAATTGCTCCTAACTTGGATGTGTGTAAAAAAAGGGGGGGGAATTTGACTGAATTACTATCCAAATGAAGCAGTAGGTAGCTAGCATAAAATCTATACCCCTGTTTCCAGACTATGCAGGGGCACAGTGGTGTACAGATGGTAAGGAAACATGCTGTAGAAAATAGTCCCCATTTGAAAGGCTCATTAATGTCCTAACTGTATAGGGAAAGTTCACCACTGTGCTAGAAAGAATGCAGACCACTTAAGAGGCTATTTTACGGGCGAGTCCTGTGAGGCTTGGGCAGAAGAGTGTGTGGCAGGAATGCTGTGCCAGGCAGAGGCAGGAGCTGTTGGCGACCAGCATTCTCTGACAAGAGCCCATGTATGTTGTCATCGCACTCTTATCCTCTCTTTGTTTTTTTTGGAGATGAAGTAAATGCATAAATAGATTTCCCCTCTGGTGCTCTTAGCTTATAAAGGAAGCTTACAAAGGTAGCCTAGTGGGTAAGAAGTTGTGCTACCAACTCAAAGACAAGGGTTTAAAACTACCAGCTGTTTGGAGGGAGAAAGAAGAACAGTTTCCTCATGTGCAATTTACTGCCTCAACAAACCGCCTGGAGGATCATGGTTCTATCTTGACAGCCGGGAACAGTGACAAGAACAAAACCAAAATTATTTTAAAGGACACTGTTGAAGCCCTCTACCTCTATTTTTATAAGCAGGCATAAACATATTTTTGTCTGGTCCTATCTTTTACTCAACTGAATTTGTTGGACTCAGCTTTGGCTTAGAAGCATTTGGTTTCTCCGGTGGACAGATCTGTCATCCCTTGAAGGGAGCTCTGGTGGCCTAGTGTGTAGGGAATTGTGGGGTTCACGTAGAGGCAGCGTCTTTCCGGCTTGAATCCATCAGCAGATCTGAAGGAGAATAAGGGGAAGTCTTCTCCGGTGCGATTTACAGACTCTAAAAACCTGCTGGAGGGTCAGCTATGAATTGGTTCTGAGTCAATAATGGTGACCTAGTTTTAATGAATGATCTATTTTCTCTCGAGGTAAGAAGTTTAAGCACTTTAGAGCTGGCAGAGGCTGGTCACTCCACCCAGGCTACCATGTTTATATTTTCACAACATTCTGATACACTTAGGATTCAAGTTCACATGAAAGGAAATCACCCTTTTG